AACTGAAATCTTTGTTTTCCAGAGCACCGGTGTTAATTCAGCCTGACCCTTCTAAACAGTTCATCCTGGAGGTCGATGCTTCGGATTCTGGCGTTGGAGCCGTCCTTTCCCAGAGACTCGACTCAGATCAAAAGATTCATCCATGTGCTTTTTTCTCTCGCAGACTCTCATCAGCAGAACAGAACTACGGCGTTGGAGATCGAGAACTATTAGCCATCAAATTGGCGTTGGAAGAGTGGAGACACTGGTTAGAGGGAGCTGAGCACCCGGTTCTAGTCTGGACTGATCACAAGAACCTTGCTAGCATCCAGTCTGCCAAACAGGCCAACCCTCGTCAATCCAGGTGGTCCATTTTCTTCTCCAGATTTAATCTCGTTATCTCCTACAGACCCGGATCAAAGAATGTGAAACCAGACTCCCTCTCGCGCCTATACTCCGTCGATCAACCCGAGACACCAGAGCCAGTCCTCCCGGCCTCTTGTACTGTGGGAGTCGTGAACTGGGAGATCTCCGATCTTATTAACTCCGCCCTGGCCACGGAACCCGACCCAGGTAACGGTCCGGCTAACAGAACTTATGTTCCGTCTTCCGTCAGGTCCAGGCTCATTCAATGGATGCACACTGCCAAATTCTCGGCCCACCCTGGAATCAGTAGAACCATCGCTCTCATCACCAGACGCTTCTGGTGGCCCACTCTCCACAGGGACGTAAAGGAATATGTGCTGGCCTGCCCCATTTGTGCTAGAAACAAGGCCTCGCATCAGCCACCCTCTGGTCTGTTACAACCTCTTCCGATTCCTTCACGTCCATGGTCCCACATTGCCATAGATTTCGTCACTGGTCTCCCCATCTCTCGAGGTATGTCCACTATACTCACCATCGTTGACCGTTTTTCCAAATCCTGTCATTTAGTCCCTTTCAGGAAGCTCCCCTCAGTGTTCCAGACTGCTCAGCTTCTCGTGAAACACGTCTTCAGATTACATGGCATTCCCCAGGAAATCCTATCAGACCGTGGTCCTCAATTCGTTTCACAAGTTTGGAAAGCCTTCTGTTCAGCTCTGGGCTGTAAGTCTGCCTTGACTTCAGGTTATCATCCACAATCCAACGGTCAGACCGAGCGCATGAATCAGCACCTAGAATCCACCCTCCGCTGCCTAACTTCCAACAACCCCACCGACTGGAGCCAGTATCTACCTTGGATCGAGTACGCCCATAACTCCCAGAGATCAGCTTCCACCGGCCAGTCACCATTTCAGGTCAGTCATGGATACCAACCACCACTTTTCCCCGCAGACGAAAAGGAGATAGCAGTCAAGACCATCAACCAACACATCCGTCGCTGTCAAAGGATTTGGAAAGAAACCATCACCACCCTCAACAAATCATCAGAGACCACCAAACTTTTTGCCGACTCCAGGAGACGTCCCGCTCCCGAGTACGCCATCGGACAGGAGGTATGGCTGTCCACCCGAGACATTCCCTTGAGGGGAATGTCTCGGAAACTGTCTCCCAGATTCATCGGTCCATTTAAGGTTTCCCAGGTCATCAGTCCCTCCGCAGTCCGTCTCCAGTTACCTCCGAGTCTTCGCATCCACCCCACCTTTCATGTTTCTCAGGTCAAGCCCGTAGTCTCTAGCCCTCTGTGCCCGCCATCCGACTCCCCACCACCCGCCCTGGAAGTCGATGGCCACCCGGCTTTTACCGTCCGTCGCATCGTGGACTCCCGTCGGCGAGGTCGCGGCTGGCAGTACCTCGTCGACTGGGAGGGCTACGGACCTGAAGACCGTCAGTGGGTTCCCGGCTCTTACATCCTCGATCCTTCCCTGATCGAGGAGTATGAGCGTTCCTGCCCATCTACTTCCTCCGGACCGCCAAGGGGCGGTCGTTGAGGGGGGGGTACTGTTGGAAGCTGGAGAAGTACCTCTCTTCTCCAGCAGAGTCCGCCGTGGATCCTCCTGAGCAGAGCCCTCTGCACAGCTGCTGCTCGTTACCATCATCAGGAGGACCCTCTACTTAAGCTGTCTTCAGACCTTGCCTCAACGCCGCAGTGTTGAGCCAGTTGGTTAGCACCTAAGCCCAGAACCTCTGAGAACTTTGCTTGCTCCGAGAACCTGACAGGATCCTAATCTTGTCTCTGTCTTTCCAGGAAAACCTGATCATTCTTCGTGAAGCTCTGGAGGAGCTTAACCCACCGAGCCTGCCCTCAGAGCCAAACCTGAAGACTTCCCCTGGATTCTCTTGCAGCTCTGGACCAAGAGCTGGAAATCCAAGTCAAGGTCTGCTACCTTTCTAGAAGCAAGACGCTGAAGCAGCTAACGGACTCAGCTAATCAGACTCTCTCCAGTTCCAACAACCTTCCTCTCCAAGATCCATTCAAGGACCCACAAGGTACAAACCTGAGACTATCAAAGGACAAACCGCTAAGAGCCCTGCTAACTAACTGTCTTCCTCACAGACTCCGGTGAACCTGTTTGCCCTGGACCAGAACCAGAACATACTATCATTGGATTGTATTCAATAAACTCTGTTAACTTTTCATCTGTTTCCTGTGTCGTGGTGTTCTGCATAATTGGGTCACATTCGTGTACCGATCATGACAGATCCTGTGTTCATGCCTTTAAAAGCCAAGGACAGAGCCCTGAAGTGAAAGAACTATATTTTTGATTTTTTCAACAGGAAAGAAGACAACACAATTATTGATTATTCTTGTATTCTGTAAATATAAACCTGATGATTGTAACATGCCATTGCTTTGCATTATAACCTGTATTACTGTTTTATTATTTCACATTGTGAACCATCCATAGCAGGCTGTTTAGAGGAGTACTGACTGACTGACTTCTGACTGACTTTTATTATTAATTATGATATTTAGTAATGGTTAGTTAATGGTTTCATTTAAAGGTTTGTATCCCCCAACTTCCATCCATATCAGGCTGTGTCCGTAACGTTAATATTTCGTTTTTTTCACTTAAACTTCACACACATGTAAGTGCACTTATTCGCTTAGTATTCACACCATCATGTAACATCACAAAATATTTCATCTGCAATGAACTACAGGGGGGAATGTAGTAGCAGTTTTATTGTCTTATATCAGAAATCAGAATCAGAATATATCCTACAACATGGACCTATACTTACTTAGCAACAAAACAGTACATCTTGAAGTTCAAGTATGAGTCTTAGTAATAATAAAGTCTCTAATACTGGCTGGTTTGCCAAACAAGGACACAGATGTACTGCGTTATGTAGTCCTGTTTCTGACCTTATGCTAACTTAGCAACACAGAGATTGCAACATGTAAACAGGGAGTCTGCAAGCTGGGAGTCACGTACGAATCTTGGCAAAAACAGGCTTCTTACTGGCTGACTCGCACGCAATCGGGTCACAGGCCAAGAACTTCCAGGAAGTTTCTTCAGAGCGTCCAGTCGTGCGCGTGCATCCACACAGTGCGTTGTGGAGCCTATAAAAGGCCGCCCTCAATGGATTGAAGGTGGGGGAAAACTACAGATGTGAGGACATAGCGCTGAATGTATGAAGTGTTTAAGACAGCTGTATGAATTCGGTTTTGTAAATAAATGTTTCCCCCCTCCGGAGACAATGGAGTGAATCATCAGCCTTCTTCCTATCATAAGAGAATTCTACCAATGAGCTTCCACAATATGTGTGAGGGAACATTGCAGGATTTTTTTTTTTTTTGGGGGGGGGGTAAAGCAAATGCCATGTGAAAGCAATGTCATCTACACTATATTGCCAAAAGTATTTGCTCACCCATCCAAATTATTGGAATCAGGTGTTCCAATCACTTCCATGGCCACAGGTGTATAAATTCAAACACCTAGGCATGCAGACTGTTTTTACAAACATTTGTGAAAGAATGGGTCGCTCTCAGGAGCTCAGTGAATTCCAGCGTGGAACTGTGATAGGATGCCACCTGTGCAACAAATCCAGTCGTGAAATTTCCTCGCTCCTAAATATTCCACAGTCAACTGTCAGCTGTATTATAAGAAAATGGAAGTGTTTGGGAACGACAGCAACTCAGCCACGAAGTGGTAGGCCACGTAAACTGACGGAGCGGGGTCAGCGGATGCTGACGCGCATAGTGCGAAGAGGTCGCCAACTTTCTGCAGAGTCAATCACTACAGACCTCCAAACTTCATGTGGCCTTCAGATTAGCTCAAGAACAGTGCGCAGAGAGCTTCATGGAATGGGTTTCCATGGTCGAGCAGCTGCATCCAAGCCATACATCACCAAGTGCAATGCAAAGCGTCGGATGCGGTGGTGTAAAGCACGCCGCCACTGGACTCTAGAGCAGTGGAGACGCGTTCTCTGGAGTGACGAATCGCGCTTCTCCATCTGGCAATCTGATGGACGGGTCTGGGTTTGGCGGTTGCCAGGAGAACGGTACTTGTCTGACTGCATTGTGCCAAGTGTAAAGTTTGGTGGAGGGGGGATTATGGTGTGAGGTTGTTTTTCAGGAGCTGGGCTTGGCCCCTTAGTTCCAGTGAAAGGAACTCTGAATGCTTCAGCATACCAAGACATTTTGGACAATTCCATGCTCCCAACTTTGTGGGAACAGTTTGGAGCTGGCCCCTTCCTCTTCCAACATGACTGTGCACCAGTGCACAAAGCAAGGTCCATAAAGACATGGATGACAGAGTCTGGTGTGGATGAACTTGACTGGCCTGCACAGAGTCCTGACCTCAACCCGATAGAACACCTTTGGGATGAATTAGAGCGGAGACTGAGAGCCAGGCCTTCTCGTCCAACATCAGTGTGCGACCTCACAAATGCGCTTCTGGAAGAATGGTCAAAAATTCCCATAAACACACTCCTAAACCTTGTGGACAGCCTTCCCAGAAGAGTTGAAGCTGTTCTAGCTGCAAAGGGTGGACCGACGTCATATTGAACCCTATGGATTAGGAACGGGATGTCACTTAAGCTCATATGTGAGTCAAGGCAGGTGAGCAAATACTTTTGGCAATATAGTGTATATTTGGGAGATTAATCAGAAAATATAACATAAAATACTAGAGGGAATATAGTGTTAATACAATCAGCTCCATCAGCAGCTTGCATAGCAGCTGAGGGCTGTGGTGTGTCACTGATATGATTACCTACTCATCCAGGCCTCTGATCTCATTGTTCCCTGACACAGAAGATAATACATGCATACTAATGTGGGGCTGTATTTGAAATAAAGATTTGCTTGACGTAGTAGAAATGTTGCAGTTATGATTATATAGTTATATTTCTTTTCGCTTTTTAAATAATTTATTTTCAATATGCAACACAAATAGTCAATTAAAAATATATTTAAAACAAGGTATCACCTGTTTAATTGATATAATTGCACTAATTGAGATCATGGATAATATAGGTTTTAGTAATATGAGAGCTGAAAACTAAATATCACATTTCTTAGATTAAAATTCTGGTATGATTATAAAAACAACATTAACATGTTAAAACTTATAACATGCTGTAGGAAGTCCAGGTAAAGTTTTTGTCAGGCTACATATTTTGAATTTCTTGAAGCTAATCTAACAAATAGCCCTTTTTGTATTGCATGGAGCTTGGGCTGTGGTGGTGTCACAGGGATAGAGCACACTGGAGTAAGAATGTTGGTTTAGTGTGACAAGTGCTCTCTTTCCTTCTGAGGATCTCTGCTGGATCAGCTGGAGGCAGCAGACTTGAGAGCAATCACCTATCTGCTGCAGCCTTCTGAAGGAGCTGTTAGAGGATCAATCATTGCCTGATATTCATGTTTGTTGGTAAAGTCAAGCCCTCCAAATTTCAAGTAGTTCTCCTTCTTATTTTTCTCCTAAGAAACCTTAAGGATTATTGGTACAAGTTTTTAGTTTATCCTCCTGTTCTCCAGGTTGAAGAAGTTCCTAGATGCCTGGATTACCACTGCTATTTCAAGCTTAACGGTATGCCTCTGAAAACACCTTGTCCACAGTCTCCACTGCAGCTCATTAGGTCACAATCTGCCTACCCGCTCTCCAGCTCTGTGACTCTACAATACCAGCCTGGCCTCCCACTCCACTGTATAACGAGAGACTCACCACCAAGATCTCATCACCTCCTACAGCTGCTCTTTTTGATCCAAAACAGTAAGTCTCAAATTAAGATTTCTCTATTCATATCCTGCCTCACTAAGACATGTAATAATAGCCATCTCCTCTGCAGAAGCTGCTGGACCTCCTGAGCTCTGAACAAGGTCCATTCCCATGTCTCTGGTCAAAATGTCTACCACCTGCTTGTGATTCTGCATCAGGGTGAGGAAGTTACCTCAGAATATGACACAACTCTGAATCTGTCAGTATGCTGCCTTTCATTTGAGTACGTGAAATGCTTTCACACAAATTATATTAAACTATGATTTATTAAGTTATATCAGCAATTTAAAGAAGTCTGCATAATGAGACTGTCAATTCCTCAGGGCAAATCAAAATCTACTTCTCTAACTTCTAAATAACAGTGTTGAACTTAAAGGGAGTGTTAAGCTCCAAAGCATTTGTCTTAGCAGCTTACACAGTGTTTCCCATTCATTCTTTAGATACCATCTTATGCTGTGTTTCCAAATATAATATGAATTTTCAGCTAACTTTTAAAAAGTTGAAAAGAAAAAAAAGTGAATTTGATGTTTTCATCCACTGGAGCAAATTCATGAGTTCATGCAACGCATAATGTCTTAATAAACTGACGGTACCCTTGGCTATAGTAAACAGAAAGTACAGTTAACAAGCAACCTTGGACTTAAAATCAGGGATGGACCAAGGTGTTAATGAATGTGTTGCAACCAGGGAAGTTGTGCTTGCTTTATCTTGGAAGCTAGCATTGGCAATAGTTCATGCCATTGGGAGACATCAAGGCTGTGTTCAATTTCAGCAGCTACGTCCTCCTTGTGATATTGGAGCTGAAGTTGTTGGTCTAAAAGAGCTTTCCTAAGTGTTCTTTCCTAAGAGCTTATTTTATGAAGATTGAGGAGGAAAAGGTTAATAGCAATCTTGCTTACTAGATTTGAGGCAGAATTGTGGCCAGGAGGGATGAATGGCATCCTTAGAGGAGAAGCTGAGATGATGGTTAATGGATTCCAGCATGGAATTTGCTGGAGTTTCTTCTCCATGGGGATGTTTGAGTCTCTGGGTTTCCGATGCAGGGTGTAACTGATGATGAAGGCAGTAGAGGGTGAGCAGGGATTTTAACTAATGTTTTTATTTTCTTTTAGTTCCTCACTAGAGGCTAGGAGAGCATACCTACTGAAATTAAAATGATTGTCTGAGGAGAGAAAAAGTGTTTAATAAGTGTACACTTTTGCTCCCCTACCAGATTTAATATTTAATTTACCAGTTTTTCTTATCTTTGGCAATAAGAAATGGATTCTAGTCTGAAACAAGGAATCCCAGAAACAACCGGTAAATACAAGCCTTCTCTGTAGATGGCTGGGATCAGTCCTAGAGAAAGAGTGAGAAGTGATCAGGAAGGAGATCTAAATAGAGCAGCTGGTTCCTGCAGAAAAATAGTCAGTAGAGATAGTTAAGTTGTCTGATCAAGTTTCCTGCTCTTATTTTTGTTTGTATTATTATTTTTTTGATTGATGAAGGAAGTATGTATGTCTTGAATCCTTTGAAATCCATTGATTGAGGTGTAGAGTGTCACTGGTAAAGGTAAACAGTTGGTTGCCCTCCTGAACCCATGAAGGCCGACCCAATCTCAAGTAAGACAATGAATTGGTTAATGGGTTACCTTCCAAATGACTACTAATTAGCTAAGACTTTGTTGTTCCCAAGACCCTTGCTTTTCAGCTAACGGCTTTAGAAAAACAAAGGGCAAGTCTTGGTTCCTGGTGTTGCTTAGCAACAACTGGAACCCATTTATAGCATTTATTTTTTTATCTTCTAACACCATGTATTATTAGAGCTGCACATCAGTATGCCATTTTTATAGCAAACGGAGAGGTCACAATTGGAAAGGCACATTTGTCATTGACATGTAATTTAATAAGGCCAGTGGTGTGGTGAGGTGCTTTATATGACATTACTAAAGCTTAACTGGAAAGCTTCTAATTATAAATATGCATAAGCGTGGCCTATGGCAGCTTAAATTTAGTCTCATGTCCTTGGTAATCTGATGTCAACAGAATACACGATTGCACAATATACTTTCCTTTCTTGGTGTGATGTAAATATTATTGTTGGTAAAACAATGTGTTGATAGTATACAGAGAAAGGAAATAAGACAATGATTATATGTTTTATGTTGACAAAAATTGCAAACAATGACTAACCTCCAGCAAAATCACAGGCCTCTACTGATGTTAGAGCTAAGTTTAATTGTGACTCTCAAAAGGTTTTGTAAAAATCTTGTAAAAAGTATTATTTTTAAATAAAAGGGAACATAACATTTAAGAATAGCTGAAATTGGTATATAGAGTAATCTTTCTATAAATGACTTTATAATGGAATTTATAATGTCATGTTAGTTAATGTAACATGACATGATGACTAAATGTTGCAGATTTTATTTTTAAAGTTGAATTCTGTTTGATGCATCTTTGGCAAAACGGGGATGATTTAATAAGGCCCTAGTACTGTCACTTCAATGTGTACTCTTGATTGTAAGCAGTCTGTCCTTACTTGCACCCAAAGTGCAAACACTGAAAATAAAGCGTATGCATAATTGAGTCATCTGGACCAGAATAACACTGCCATGTCAGTGCAAAAACATTCTCTGAGGTATTGTGATTTTAATCATAGAGCATGAACAAAAGAGAATGTTGTATCATTGTGCGTAGTGGAAGCCCAGGCTTTCTGAAAAATGGTGTGAAGCAGAGCTGAATTAAGTTGGTGACAGTTTAGTCACAGGACAGGATAAAAGAAAAGAAAGAACGCTGCATTTAGATAAATATGTAAAATTTGAGGGAAAGTATAGTATTCCATTTTCAGTGGTGACAGGATTTCATTAAAACAGACATTTCAACGTCAAACTGCCTGTGGCTGATGAAGCGTATAGGAACATTGGGACTTTACTATTTTGGAAGCCAAATGAAGGCTGAAGACGTTGGTCACTGGCAGAATCATTAAGAGCTTCTTTTTTGGATTGAACTCACTGTTATCTGCTTAATAGCTTAAGCTTATTTTAATAGAATTCACAAATCTAAACATTTTATTTCTCATTCTTTCATATAGGTTTGGATGTTTATGGGGTCCTCTTATTGCTTTGAAATGAAATGATTTTTACATAGAAGCCAACATTATTGACCCATTAAACTAGAGCACTTGTATTACTGATTGCTTTGTCTGATTCATGGCTTGTGGCAAACTACAGTGTACAGACCTTTGTAGACTGTGAAGTGTATCATTGATAGGTCATCAGCATAGAGATAATAGATAATCATAATAGAGTCAAACATGCTTTTCTATTTGAACTCATGCATAGATTGCCCCGTGGTCATTGGAGCCCTCGGGGCAGTGACCCCCAAACTGGAGAAGTGGTTACATTAGATCCCTGGAAATACATCAGACATCTCGGTCCAGAAGAGTGCAATTCTACGAACAGCAAAGATACTGTGTAGAACTCTCAAGCTCCCAGGCCTCTGGTAGAAGACCCGGGCTTGGAGGAAAAAGGGGGGAAGACCATCCGCAATGGGTGAGGAAGTTTTTTTTTTCTCTATACACCGTATATTTTTCTAAACTGGAACTTTCTGGATTTTTCGCATCTGTCAACATGTGCATTACAATCCAAACAGATTTATGTAAAGTTTTCACAAATTTTCTTGAGGTTTATTTGTTTTTAATGTTTTTTAGGTTTAGTTTTTTATTATTACTTTTTTAGGTCTACTTATATGTAAAGACAGGGACTTTTTTCATATGCGGTCAAAAGAAAACCACAAGTTAAACAGGTTTGGGGATGTCCTTAAATGTCATAGCTATAAATTAAAATAAATAAATATATAAAATAAAAAAAAAGGAAGGAAATGTCATAGCTAGGGCTTTTTCCTCAAAATGTTAAATTTTTCTAAGATACTACATCAACAGAGTGTCTAAAATAGTACAGAATAAAAATTTATTTTTTAATTTAAATAATTGTTTAATACATTTTTAAGGGTCCAATATATTTACCGTATTTTCACGACCATAAGGCGCACCGGACTAAAAGGCGTACTCTCAGTTATGTGTCCCATTTCTTTATTTAACACACACATAAGGCGCACCGGACTATAGGGCACGTTTTTTATATACAGGTACATGTCCTCTACTACCTTTAAATACCTCTACTGCGTATTTAAAAATACAGCGGGGGCAAAACTGAGTATGACTGTGCTTTATTCATGTATTTATTACAAAGTATTAATCAAACCTGGCAGCTGGCCGTGAGACAGACACATCGCAGATGACACAGCGCTGTGATCACTCCTAAATTAACTTAAAATCCTGAAACCTGCCGACGGAATATGTTCGCTTTTATTACCGGTATCCTGGTGCCTGCAGCTAAAATTATTTAGATGAAAAACACCTGCCAGCCGCCGCGGTGAGGCTGCTGTTGAATGGATTTCTGCTGTCGGTGTACCGCTGGTATGTGGGGGTCTGAGCGGCTCCGACAGAAATAGATAATCTGGATGAACTGACTGCAATTATTAAGTTTTCAGGTGGCCTTTCTCACTTAAAAACATATTAAAACTACTTTATTCCAACTGATCACAGCAAATATAGCTGCAAGATTTAGATTATTTAGATGAAAAAACACCTGCCAGCCACCGCGGTGAAGAGGAGGAGACCCGCCCAGAGGCTGCTGTTGAATTAAGTTTTCAGGAAAAAAAATGGAGCGGGAGCAAAACTGAGTATGATTGTGCTTTATTCATGTATTTATTACAAAGTATTAATCAAACCCATCAAAGTCATCATCCTCTGTTATCCTCAGCATTCCTCTGAATAAAACAGCTGCGCTAAATCAGACATGCCAGTTTCCCCTTCTTCGCTGTCAGAGTCACTTTCCGTGCAGCGCGGCTCCTCAGAAATAATGCCGGCTTTTGCGAAAGCTTGAACAACAGAGCCAGCAGACACAGTCCATCTACAATCCATCCGCAAACGGTGGCGTAACTTGCACGGCGCTGCCTTCCACTTATCCTGAAACTGTGGTCTCAGTCTGTCATCCATCGCTCCCACGCCGCTCGCAGCCTTACTGTGAACGGCCGCTCCACACCGATGTCGAGCGGTGGAAGTTCCTTTGTCAGACCCCCCGGGATAACGGCGAGCACAGCGTTCATTTGATTCATCTTTTTTTCACATCGGCTGTGAGATGGGCACGCAGCAATGGTGATGCGTGGAAAAAACCACCTAGTCTTCTCACATACACCTGTCTCAGCCACGCATCCACCCAGCCTTTTCATTTGCGATAATATCATATGTCATCAGAGCGCTGTGTCTGTCTCGCTGTCAGCTCCCAGATCAGCTTCTCTGATTGGTTGATGCGGCGCGTCCAGCAGCAAAACTTCAATTTTTCCATCTGAGCAGCAGCAGCGCGTTGGCGGTGCGTCAGATGCTTAAAGGCTCCCGACGTGCTGCACCAAAACGCGCTGCGGGACCTTTTGCTGCACCTATATGCGCGTCAACCATTGACTTTGCATGTAAACTCGCTGCTTCTGCTGCACCTGCTGGGTCCGGTTCACACCGATGTCGAGTGGTTGAACAGCGAGCACAGGGTTAATTTGTTTCCCCATGTTTTTCACATCAGCTGTGAGATGGGCACGCATGGAGTTACATATTAACAGCGATGGTGAGGGGTGGAAAAAAAACACCTGGTCTCCTTACATTCAGCCACTCTTTCATCATCTCCTCAATGAGGTGGCCTCAAAAGTCGCAGTTACAACACACATAGGGCGCACCGCACCATAGGGCGCACCGCACATTTTGAGGGAAAAAAAAGACGTTTAAGTGCGCCTTATAGTCGGGAAAATACGGTACTTCTGGTTACGCTGTTACCATTGATATGAAAGGATTCTGCACCAGTAGAATCGATAGGCTTGAAGTCATGTGAGACCAACCTCATGAGTGGCCAGATCCCTGTAGCTCCTTAAAAGAGCTGAGGAATGGCTTCTTCTGTGTTACATTTATTAGATTCAAGCCCCCACCAAAAATCAGAAAAAGAAGAAAAACGAGGGACAACATAAGGCAAGTTTTGTTTGCCAACTCAAGGAAGTTTGGGGGCTTTGATGCCACTCAGAAGTAATTGGAATCTCTATTACAGATGTAGATTTTGTGCATTGAAATTTAAAAATATCTATGAGTATTCTTAAATTCGTACTGTAGAGATTTTGATATACACTTGCTCCAATATGGATCAGTTCTGGAAAGTTTCCAAATCAGTGAGCATTAATTAACTAAATTTTGAAAGTTGCTGTCCTTTGTAGCAAAGCCAGTATTGATATCTGTGCAGGTTTTTTTTAAAGTATTAAGTATTATAAGTGTTGTAGCAGACCGTACCTACAGATACAAAAAAAGCTTCACCTTTTCGGCAATCTGCTGCTTTACAGAGAAATTGTAAGTCTGCTTCTACAGCTGAGTGATCCCAAGCCAATTCATTGACTGAGAGAAGGAAGCCGTTAGATTGGAGCGCAGGTACCATCCATTCCCACCCTGACCGCAGACATGCAGGTTACAGTGTCCCTGTCTGCCTTATCTCGTGGAGCACCAGCTCGTCTTCAGACCCAAGGCTCATGCCGGCTCTTGCTCAAGATAAAGCCTGAAATAGACCACTCTCACTGACAGCAAGGCAGCATTAGATAAGGCTGTTGTGTCCACAGCTTTGAGCTAGAAATGGAGAGGGAGTGCAGAGGAAAAAGGGTATGCATGAGCAAGTAAGCAGAATACAGTTGTGTGATTGCAGTGCTGTTGAAGGATTTTGCTGCATGTGTTCAACCTTCGACCCTCTTGTTTAAACACAGATAAAAGAAGGAAAAGTTATAGAACTGCATAAATCGTTTGCGCCCCTGCTTTTCTCACAGTTGAGACCATTGACTGTGACTATTGACCCATGTAGTTTAAGCCCCAGCCAATTTGGTCATCCTGGCTTACAGAGATAAGAAAATTACCTTGCACAACGTGCATGCATGTGTGTGAGCCTACTTCACTATGTGTGTACTGAGGTGAATGTCTATGCATGCTCAATGACAGTATTTCATTAAGACTCTGCCAGACACCAAGCAGCAAAACTGCATCTAAAATGGTTTTCCTCTGTTGGCATGTGGAAGCCAATCAATAATTGTGTGTCTTAGTAAATTAGATCCTGTAGACAAGAAGCAGTAGTCAGCAAAGCCATCCCAAAGTAACCCCTTGCCTGGTTAGTTCATTCTTCATTAGACAATAGCCTGAAGTAATTGAATTGGTCTGTACAAGCTAAGGGCTTGGCCTTCTGTTTTTCCCCTTTGACAGCATATATTCAGATGTGATGACTTTAGACCAGAGCCAAGATCCCATTTATGAAGAAAGCTAGAGATAAGACACCTAAAGGCACATCTGCAATCAAATCCCTTTAGCTTATTTTCCAAGTCAACTGAAATTCCTTGTAGGTCACAAGATTATTACTGAAAAGATTGCTTGACTGATGAAAATAAGAATGAATTTTACAGATTAAGCCAGATCAGTCTTAGCCTGACGTAGTCCGACTCAATTCTAGTCAGAATATGAGTCTGATACTGCTCCATAGAGCTGTGATTATGGGGCGTGTTTCGAACGAACCAGGAAAAAAAAAGCCTCGGCACTCAATTGGATAGACCTACAACCAATAAGAGCAACGGAGTGCATGACGTATGTTAAGCGAGGCATAGTTGTTGTCCACAAAAATCAAAGCGTGCAGTTGCACGCCTATAATAAGAAGATGAGACTTGATCGCGTTTCTCTGTTCCTCTTTTAAAATTAATTTGCTGTCGATATCTTCTAGAACAGACCTAATAGCAGAATCTACTCACCTAAACTCTCCGGCGGCAGCCATTATTGTTGTCACCCAAGCGTGCATTGGTCACGTGGTTGATTACGGTACTGTTGGTCATCTGTCCATCATCGTATAAAGCCTGCCCTGACAATTTGATTGGATCGCCTGACAGTGGGCGATAATACTCGCGCTACTATGGAGCAGAGCCAGACCGAACTTCCCGACCTCAAACTTTGTGGGCGGGACTAAGTTCGGAATGGCACCCAGGCTAGATCAGTCTGTCACAGAACTTAAAAAGAGAGGGTTCTAACAGCTTTTTATATCATACCTCCATAATTCACAAACTCATACTTTTTAATCCCAGTGAATAGACAAATATTGCACATTTTTAATGATGGATGAGTAGACAATGGCCCGGATCGATGGATAATGCCAAAATTTCATGTGACTGTGCAGGGGCTGCCCTTCACAAATATGTGACATGAAACTCCATCCATTTTCTGTCACGCTTATCCCTGCTGGGGTCGCGAGGAGTGCTGGTGCCTACCTCCGGCTGTCAATAGGTGAGAGGCAGGGTAAACCTTGGACAGGTCGCCATTCAATCGCAGGGCAACACAGAGACAAACAGAACAAACAAACATTCACACTCATACCTAAGGAGAATTTAGAAAAGCCAATCACAACAGTCATATGTTTTTTTGACTGCGGAGGAAGCCGGAGTACCCGGAGAGATTCCACGCATACATGGGAAGAAGATTCAAACTCCATGCAGAAAGACCCCAGGTCGGGAATTAAACCCGGAACCTTCTTGCTGCAAGGCAGTAGGGCTACCTACTGCTGCAGCCTGACATGAAACTCAGCCCACAAAAATTGAAACCAAATGGTTGTAGATGGCATTTTCTTTGCACAGTGCTATGGCCATATTCATGTTTTCATTTTCCGTTGCCATGAACGCATGTTTTTTGTGAAAAAATGAAAGTCGCAGGCACCCTCAGAAGGTTCCTGGACAATTTGTATGATGAAATTGCTCTAAGTAAAGACTTTCTCTTTTTATTTTGAATTCTTTTTGAAGAACCGGTCACAGACATTTGACTTCAAGTGTTGACCAAGGACTTGTTTTTTTCCTGAACAGAGAGAGCCATTGATGGATGACGTTTTTTTTCCCAACTTTTGTTCATGGACATCATATTTTTATTCAGATAGTTATTTTTCTTCTAAATAAGAGTGAATTGATCATTTATCTAAATAAAGATTATATGTTTTTCATCCCTCTCTTATCCTGGCAGGGTTGCTGGGAGGAATCTTTCTAAAGTATTTACAGTGTTTCAACCTTAAAAAAATGGTAAATCAAGGATAAGTAAATAAGCTTAAAATTTTGCCTTATTTAAAATAAGTTTCCTTAGTAAACATTGTTCTAATAAGGCAAAAGTTTCTTAAGTTTCATAATCCTAACCATAGCCATTAAGATGTCTTAATATGGTCAGCTGAACTGCTGTGTGATAAATTTGGCTGCTAAAGCTATAGTTTGAATGTGCAACTAAAGGGGTCCATTTGACTTGATCAGTTTCCAGTGACTGTTTGCTACAAAAACAACCAACGATGAATGTGGCCATAATCCCATGTGACATGGGCAGTCAAGGGAAAGGAATATGAGGGTTTAAAGGAACAATGAATGGGGATGAGGAATCAGAGAGAGATGGAGCACAGTGACGACTTTTCGTATTTACACCAGAATGACAGTTTTTTGGTATTCAAGAAAATACACCCAGTTTTATTGCTAGCAAAATGGTTGCCATGACTTACAAGAATAAAATGGATAGGAAACATTGAGCTCCAGAAGAAGCTGTTTAAAATTGTAACTTGATATAAAGTGTATTTATGTCATTTCATACTTTTGCTCTGTTTTTACTGGGCGTCAAGAGGGTAGTAGAGAAAGCTGGCTATACATTGAATCAGGTAACATTACTATGTGAATTTTGACATTTATTTTATTATTGGGTGTTTACAAAGCTGGCTTAGAAATCTAACTCTACTGTTAATTGCTCATTAATAGAGAGTAACTTCTAACATCAATATGATTAAACTAAAATTTGATCTGAAAGATTCTAAGCTTTCTGATTAAACAGAAGATGGTACATGCTAAAAATTGTTGCTCAATATTTTTCCATCTCAATAAATCCTAATCCTTATTCCTTTGTACCTCTGTTCCATGTGTCCTATATTTCTTCTAACCATCCTCTGGTCTCTTTTAGTGTCATCCACTCCTTTGTTTATCCCTTTATCTCTCCCTGTCCCTTTCAACCCCTATTTCTCTTTCATTGCAGCAGCGTGGGAATCTGCCACCATCCATCCCAAGCAGCAGGTAATGGATCAAGCGCGGGACCTGATGTGGCTACGGATGAGCCAGCCCGTAGGCGTGAGAGTAGGCGTTCAAATGGATTTGGAGAAGCTCGCCTAAAGTACTTACACCTGGAACTTTTTGTGTTTGCTTCTCAGCGCAAGCCCTTCACATCTCCTCATTTCTTCTTTCAAAGACAAAAAAACATGACAGCAGGGTGCCAGAGTCATGTTGGGTTGGTTGGGGGACATTTTGATGTTAGTGGGATGCTTTTTTTTCTTGGCACTCTTTAATCCCAGCAGTGTTGCAAAAGCACTCTGTTCTATTTCTCACTTTGATTGCTGAAGCACGGATCAAGAGCCTTGTAAAGGTAGCCCCCAATGTCACTTTACAACTGCAGGAAATCATAAATTGTTCAAGTGCGTCTTGCCACTGGTATATATTGTGTTTTCAGAGCAGTTGTGCAGTTTATGTGTAGTGAAGAGTAAATGGGTCCAAACTAAAGAAAAAAAATACAGGATCTTGCACTCTCCACAGATTTCTCACAGAACCCTGGAAACTAATATACACAAACATCTGTTTATGAATAATGGATGAAGATGAAATACTTGTACCGATCCACTCTAGAGCAGAGCAGATGTTATTTACAGTCTTATAGAAGTATGCTTGCCATCAGGGCTGATGCAATTTAATGTGAGTCTTTTTTTTATTGTATTGGAGATCAATGTTTATGGATAACTACTTTATTGTACTGTTTTTGTCACCTTTTAATCTGAAATTGTATATTTTTTATTTCTAATATACCAACACATAGTGACACATTCTTAAGTAGAATTTAAATTATATGTTTTTTTGAAAGTACAAATAAATAAAAATCTGGTGCAACCAATTGCCTTAAATATTGTTATAATATTTGTGTCTTTCTTTTTTTATTCACCTTTTTATTCACATTATGTTTTTTTTTTAGATAATTTTTTTCTTTTCTAATCTGTATTTATTTTCTACTTTACCTTATTATTTATTTTGTAACAACAAGATACTCGTTCAAGTTTTTTCCTCCGATTTTTTCCAGATTCCTGTGCAGATTTTTTCTTTCTCAAATCTACAGCTCAAGTTCCCATTTCGCTTCACCACATTCAAATTAACCTTGTTCCTGTTTTTCTAACCACCTGCCCAGTGGCTGTAAGCCAGGTGGCTGCCTTTATTTTCAGCCAATTTGCTGTTGCTTTTTATCGTTCGTCATCTGTGACGCCTGCTGTTTTACTTCATGCTGTGCTTCTGATGTATTTTTGCCATTTTTGATGATTTCTGATCATTTCATTATGTGCTGACTGGGGTCCTGTTCGCATGTCAGTCCTTCTTTTACATCTCAAAAATAGACAAATTTGATGCTAAATTAGGGATTGAATTCCAGCTGTGTACTTTCAGATGTCCTATTAAAAAAGTCATAATTACCACGTAGAAGACATCTAAAGCATCTGAATCATTTGCACCAGTCAGATAAGACTAAAACGTAACTTTTTATTCAACATAAAAAACAGTTGAAAGCATATCTGTGTAATTCCCACACCTTTCTATACTGACGTAAGGGGCATTAAAACAATACTTGCGATCTTTATCCAACTTCATTTAAGAGGTATTCTTCTGAAGCACACAATTTCATGTGTGTCAAAAATGTATCTAATTGTTGTGGTTACTTATTTTATTGGAAATTTCACTTTGTTTAAAGGACTACAAGGATGATTTAAGAAGCTTCTAACAATTGTGCTCTTTAAAGTTCCTTTTACTAACTTGCTAAGATGAGCATCAGGTGCAACGAAAACAAAAATACAATAAAATACAAATATTCTAAACAGGAGACATACTTATAGTCTATTGAAGTTCATCATACAGTATCTATCTATCTTGATTTTAATTGATTACATATTGGTTGGTCAATCAATTAATATACGTTTTCTGAAATACATTTTTGTTCAAATAACTGGTCTAAGCAGCCCTAAGTTAATAGATAACTTAAGCATAATCATACAAACAGGATGAAATCTGTCAGATTAATGATCAATTAATGATTTTGCACCGGTCCCTATTCTGTTGTCCTTTTTTTGTGTGTTTTTATATAACATGAAAAAAAAAATTCGAGTTTGTGATTTTAATACTTTTTACATGGCTGCACTCTGCAGATTCTCATAGATGCTTCCTGAAAGAATTGGATACCTGAAAAATACTGAAAAATTGAAAAAAAAAAAAATCTGAATTAGTTCTTCTTAGCATCAAAGGTTAATCTAGTGTAATTTCTGATGTTTTCCTAGCAAAATTAACCTTAATTAACCCAGAAATATGTGGCCTTGCACCAAGTTAAAATGCATCCTGGCACTGAAATTCTCAAATTTTTGGTTTATGAGTACACATGTTGCAGCAGCATGTGTTAGAGAAATATTGGCGGGCACTGTGTCTCTGCCTCTAGGCAGCAGCCATAGTAAGGCGCAAACACAAGGCCAGACACCTGTTTTACTCAAAATGAATAAAGCATGGACTATTCTCTGCACATCGGACCAGTAGGGACAGGGCCAGAGACCTGGAGAGAAACAAGATGAGGGTGCGTGTTGAAAAATGAAACATCCATAAGAAGAAATCAGGAAAGTTATAAATCCTTGTTAACTTTTATAGACTCTTGTAAAGCCAAATGTAATTCTAATAGATTTTTCTGCTGAATGTTTTGCTTTGTGCCTTATGCAACTAAATTAAAATAACTGCAGAGAGCCATTTAAATCTCATCAAATATTAACTGTTTGTAGGCAGCCAGTGGAGTGCTCATGAAGTAAATATCTCTTAAGTCATATGTGCTTTTTGCCACATTGTGCTTCGGTCTCCATCTTTCTCTGCTGCCCCTTTCTCAATGTATACAAAACCACATTTCAATGAAATCACTGATACAGCATGAGTGAATTTTTTAAACAACTTTGATCACTGCCTTTTGGCTTCAAGTTATGATTACATACATGGTTATTTATCCCCACCTTACTTTTTTTGCCACTGTTCAGATTTGAAGAGTATGTTTAAGACTACAGTAAAATATCAGTTCATTCAGTTTGACAGGATGTTGCTCCCTGATAAAAATAAAAATGCTTCCCATTTATAGAAAGAATAGGGAATTAAGAAAATGTTCAATTTTTGGAAACCTATCTTTAGATATGTTCAGTTTTGTCTGCTTGAATAGGTTAGTGTTACTCTCACTTGGTACTTGTTTTCCACCTCAGCCCTCTCTATGGGCCCTTTAAAATCATAATTATATGTCTGCTTATTTGTGTATTCTAGGTTCAAAAAGATATTAGAAAAAAGGCTGATCACATTTAGAACATGAGGATATAAGCAAAACGTTTGTTGTCACTGTTCAAAGGTACACTGGATTTTACATCCTATGAGGATCAGAAGAACTTGCATGATGAAAATATCTTGAGGAGCAATCCACAGGGAAATTAAGTGCAACAATGTAGTTTGAACACTTAAAGATGAATAACACAGTGGGTATACTTGTCAAGATGAATACATTACCAATCCATGATAGCGGTGCCTAAAGAAATTTGTATTTGTATAAATACATTCCCTTTCAAAAGCATTAAACCCTGTGAACTTTACAAACACAACACAGCCACAAAGTGTAAAGCATTTTATTGGGTTGTGATTTATTCTGCACAGTAATAAAGGGGAAAAAATGACCAATGGGTTTCCAACACATTTACAGTTATAAATATGCAAAGCCAGGGGTGCATTTGTATTTGGTTCTCCTAAAAAATGTAATTAAGAGCTTGCTGCAGGAGATGTCGGAAATATCTCTTCAATTTTGACTAAAATGTTTTGAAAAAATCATTTCAAAACAGCTCAAGGTCACTTAGATTGTTGGGAGACCAAACATTTAAGTCTTAACACTAATTATTAATAAAACGTTGGTATTGACAATAACATTGATGCTTGATCTCAGTTATTATCTACAACTTGGATTTGGTTTATGATTATTCCTTTGATGCAAGGTAAATCTTTGTCCTAGTCTTGATTCTTTTTAGGGCTTTAACCATTTTTTTCCACTGATTAACTTGTATTTCATCAGAGCCCCATCATATTGCTGTGTATCATAGATTTATATTGTCTTTCTTAACAGGAGTGGAAAGCTAAATGTACTATCAAAACACTTTCCCACCTAAGCCACATATCTTTGCAGCTCCTCCAGTGAGACCATGGAGCAATGCTGTTTTCTGAAAGCAAATAGAGTATGTTATTTTGCAAAGAGTTGTATCATATTTTGATCATTTATCTTATTTTTGGGTATCAGAGTAAAAGGTGCAGGATGGAAATATAGGATTACTATTTTATTTGCAACTAACCTTTTAAGCCTTGCATCCTTCTTCTCCCCACTTCATTGATGTAAATATTTGTCTTGGTATAAATAATAAGATATACAGTACTGAGCTTGTAAGACTTTTCTTCCAGGCAATTTATTTTAACAATCTACCAACCAACTAAAAACTGTTTCGATGCAATGACAAATATCAATGTATAATACCTTCTTTAAAGTTCTATGTTTTGCTCTGCCCAGCCTTAGGATATCTAAAGAAGTGACAGCAGCTCAGAGTACCATTAGTATTCTGTCAATGAATATATCAAACTAAAAGAAATGTCGATTGGCATAATGTGTCAGGCCAAGCCAGAGGAGAGCTGGGAGTGTGCTTGTCTTCATGTGTATTTGTCTAAAGACAGGAAGTGGTTGACAGACTCAGGAGGTGTGAATTCCCTGCTTGTGATTAATTTAGCCTTTCTTGTTGAGGCAGCCTGCCATGAACATTTTGGGCTTAGTTTAACTCTGATCAACATGTTCATAGCGAATGCCATCTGCTGGTTTGATTTTGACAAATTACCCCGCATGTTGTGCTTGATAATGCTATGTTTATTCTCACTTAGACTGTTTGTTACTGTGCAAGTGGGGTAAAAATATTGGCTTGGTGTCCCAACAAGCCAATGGTAAAGGGAAACTGGGCAGGCGACAAAGGTAAACAAGTCCTCTGCCTTCACCTTGAGGGAGTTGTATTGGATTTGTTTTGCTGACAGTGCTCAAAGTTGTTCTTGCGCCGTTGACCCTCAGCTCAAGATTTGCTCCTGCTGCACAAGTCAGGCTGGGTGGGAGATCTGCAGTAAACACTGGTGTGCAATCACATCCTCGAAGTGAACTTATATGTCTGTGTCAAGCAAGGCCCAGCCTCCAAGCCTTCAACTTCAGACTGCCTTCTGTCTTATGTAGTTAGGCTCTTGAAGAACTCAGAGATCTTTGCTTCACAGGAAAAAAAACAGCTCCGGGGAAACATATAAAGATGCGTGGGCATGAGTGAACTGATATGCTCAAACAGCACAGATAAACTCAAATATACTTGCATAGTTAACAGACTACAAAATAAATTCTTTCGACAAGACATTTCTTAAAAAATGTAGCATCTTAGCCTGATACCGTTCTTGCCATTAAGCTTACTTAATAGCGGAGACACTTTTACACGTTATCTGATTGAAAGAAGTAGTAGCATTCTGCATCTGAAAACTCTCTGTAAGCTGTGTGATGATAGGTTTGTTTTAATCCCTTAACCAATAAAGAGAAAGACCAAATAGACACATTGTAAGTTTCTTGAGCTTTTGCAAAAGGGGAGAGAACTTTGTGCACCTTAGTCTCTTAACTCTAATCCAACTGTATGTCCCCTTCAGTAGTCTAGTTGAAGTTTTTTTTTGGTGGCATACATAGCCTAATTAATATAATATATTACCCTAAAGAATATGCATGGTATGGTTGTTACATGTCAGCTATGCCAGTCATTGACCTTGACCAAAGCACCCTACAGTAGAACTGCAGTCAGTCCCTG